TTGTCTGTTTTTTCTCGTCGTAGAAAGATAACTCACTTATTAACGTTGGCTTGGTTGCCATCGAGAGTTAATTACTTAAGGAACAGACCATGGCTGAAACTACCCTCCATGGAGGGTAACCAGTTTTACCACGTTCAGAGTACCTAACTACAACAAGCAGAAATAAAAATGTTCACTGGACTACAACTTCATAATTATCAAAATCTAGGATTAACTCATTATAAATGTGAACAGCGAAGTCCAACACTTACCAACCTCAGGGCTATCATGACCCGTGAAAACGAAGGACAAGATGTTCTGGAAGTCCATCTGGCATATTCAAACAGGTCTGTTGCTTCTGGATCCTGGATTTGGAGTAGTGAAGATATTTGGTTTTTAGTCATAATATTCATCAAGATTATGAATCTTTGTTGTGGAATGGTGTCAACATGGATGAATTGTAGTCCTGGAATCAATATTGAAGTACAATATGTTAACAATTCATAAACTTTTCATCATTATCTCAAGCAAAAAGTGCAAACTGTTACAATGGAAGTATTAGCTTCAAGCTTTATTTTTCTCCAGGTAATACATGTAGTGTCTAGATACCAACCTGGTTTTTTGTTAATGCGAAGACAATACTTCCACTTGTCCAACTTGTAAATTTTCTGCACACTTATTCTGCTGGGGTGTTCCATTATATGAACATGCAGCACTTGTATCTTATAGTGACAACGGGTAGGGATGCAGATTACCTTCCATGAAGATGAATGTAATTTGTATATAAACTTATACATACCTGTAAAAATGTGTGTGCCTATGTATTCAGGAATAAATATTATTATTATTATTATTAGATTTGTCAGTTAATGTGGTAAATGTTTTTAAGTGCCAATGGAGATGATCATGTATACAATAGGTATGATAACGTTGGCCAAGGCACCCGCGATGTATGATAATGACGATAAGAACCGCGAAAGCAGTTTGGAAGTATTTACTCTCTGGTGATCAGAGTTGGCCAGAAGCCTAGAAAAATAAAAGTTATGTAATACTGAAGGATGAGGTGAGCGGACAAAAGGCCCGTACAAACACACTGACTGAGCGAAAGGAGTGAAGAATAAGAAGAGTGTGGGAAAACGTTCCAATGACAAATTTGTTTGCTAAGTATCCTGCGATAGAAGAAGAGATAGGGGGATGTACAAACTTCTTCTGAATATAAAAACTAGGATTCTTAGCTCGGCTTCCCACATCTTCTACTATGTGTAGGGGACGGGTTTGAATACCTTTCTTAGGATGAGATGGTTTTGTTGACAACTGTCAGCTAGTTGACGTGCAATTTTAGACTTGATTGGTTCTCTGTCAGAAGACTGACAGAGTTCTCTTGCTTGTGATAACGAGTTTTGAAGTCGTGGATTTGCATCTATTTGGCTGATTTTCTGCCCATTGTCACACAACCTATGACCAAAAGATCATGCCTTCAGTTGAATCTTATCTGGTTCATCGGCAGGAAAGCTGCGAACATGCAGAATTCTGCCTGAAGAAACGCGCGTCCTGGGCTCTCCTGCTAGCCACAACCAACCAAATTATCATAACTCCTTTCCGGGCTCTGATTTTTGAGAGAACGAAACCAGCTTTAGTCGTCTTCGCTCTGCTCTGCCCAACTTTACCGCCGTTATTTCCCTCGGTCACGAATTTCTTTCGCAAAGAACTTGCTTCCGGTTCCGCGACGTGTATTCCAAGGGGTCCAGGCGATTACCTAATGTCGTTTCAGTGCTCCGGAACTAGGATGGATTTTGTTAGGACGTAAACAGCTCCAATATAATTTAGGACATCGCTCACTCTGCATGCACTCGCTAGTGAAATTAACCGATATTTTCGCTTCCTGTAGCCTGGGCTTGTACTTCAGATACCTGCTGAATGCATCTAGTGCAATAGGAATCACCTGTGACTTAAAAGTTTTGATCTACAAGACGGGTCAAATCTTTCGCACATACTAAGTCATCTGTATTGGAGTGAACCCTGAAGAGCATTTAATTGGTTCGCTTCCATATCTTTTTGGAACCTTAGTTTATTGATTTCATGAAATTATTTACTACTTCAGCCTCTGGCTCCTCCATGAACCAGTAATAATCTTAAAAAGATACCTGTCACAGGCAAAGGCAGAATTGCCTCCCCACCAGTAAAACTCAAGGAGCGGAATAGCTTTATTCATTGGTTCCTGGTTGTCTGAAATTACTCTTTGGTGTCGCACAAGTAGCGAACTGAATGACAGCTCGATCTCCATGGCTGTTTTAGAGGAGCAAAAATGTGGGCTGATAGAATTCGGAGGCACAGACACACGACAAAACAGCATACATCGTGAGAGAAGTTTTAGAAGATTTTCTGGAGGCATAACAATTAGCACGCAAGGCATGTCACCACTGAAAAATAGAGCGAAAGTTTTCGCCTTCCTATCAAAAATTTGACCACGATGAAAAAGAAGAAAATGGCGATTCCTGACACGGTAACTAATCGAGTTCTTTCTAAGATGTTCCAGAAGTCTGACGGTTCTGCCTGAAAGCTTTTCGTTGTGAGACAGAAAGTCATATATATATATATATATATATATATATATCCAAAGATAGTTTGTCAACATATTTGATGGCCAGAGCGTTTCCTACTTGTCGGCTGCTGTGAGGAGAATCGTCGTCGAAGATCCTGGCCGGCGTAAATTCAATGACGACTTCGGTAGCCTAAGGGTGAAGGTATGCTAAAAAACTTCGGGCTACGCAACACTTCTTCCTGCAGTATTTGTAGACCATTCCAAGGCCCCCACTGTTACCCCGATGTATTTTGCAGGACTATTTCTGGTTCCACAAATTGTCCCGAAGTGATTATTAGACTCATCTGCAGCTCCCCAAGTTTTTGCAGACATGCCTACAGTTCCCCAAGTTGGTTCGAAGTGTATTGCAAACCATTCCCCAGTTCCCTAGGTACGCCAGGAATCTACCACAGACCGTTCTGCGGTCGCCTAATTCTTCGACAGAAAGTCCACAGCTCCTTAAGTTAGCCTATTGTTACGGCTGAATGCCTGACTGCTCGGAGAGTTCGCCTGAGGTGCCATACACGCCTTTTCTTAACCAAAAAGCCTGCCTGATGAAAAGAAAATTAAAAGGCATTCATGTTGGCTGTGCGCACTATATTTAATTAGAGCAATCAAATATACGTCAGACACCGCTGTATCCAAGACGCTATTCCACGCCAAGGAATTTGCATGCCATCTCTCCTTCACCTTCTCACATGTTGTGCTGATCCGGACAACCCTGATCAGCATGCCTAAAACTGTCACCGACGTCATTACATGTAGCATTCTATCAAATGGGGTTCACAGAGGAAGTAAGCTTACCAAACGCTGATTCCCTCCCTTTCTATCCCGCCCCCTTACTCGGTCCCTGCTGTTGTGAAATAGAAGCTGCATTTCCAAAAAATCCATTCAGTTGTTGCAGACTCGCCATAGTTACAGTGTTTGCGATGATCGGAGATTACTTGTTAGTGGAGTGATGTGCATGGTGTATATACCTACCGATGATAAGCTTGAATAGTAAAGATTTTAGAAGGGCTTCTTCAGAGCAGTTGACTACCACGGGTAACTGTTGCTGTATTCATGTGAGGGAACGGTTCATATGATTCTCCTCAATGGTGCTGCAATATCGGAAACAAACGGGCTGAAAATGTCCTCGCAGACTCCCTGAGGAAACGTTGGGTCCCGAAGCATCCACTCTATTTCCTGCATCAACCTGTCGTCGTTAAAATGCCGCCTTCCAGCAGCTGCCAGCTTTTGAAATGAGTCTTTCGCGGTATCAACCCTCACACTAAAAACCTCCAACATCCTGTTCGTCACCTCTGAATGACATCCATCTTGACAGGTTGCGTAAGTTTTCTCCTGTCAACTGGTGGCTTTAAGTCATCCAACGTAAAGGACTTCAAATTGTCGGCAAGCAGTATTGTGAAATGCGAAAACACGCCGCGTTATTTTTAAGAAATGAATAAAAATTCCATTGACTTTAGGTTGGACGTGAACAAGGGCAACTGAACGCACTGCGTTTAGAAGCCTAATCACGTAAGGCGTTCGGTCAAAAAACTGTTATGCATGCAGTTTCAGCCTTCTGCGTGTTCTGGATACCTAGTAAGTGTTGAGATAGTGCCTTCATCCATCATAGTGAGTTTGTAGTCACGAGTCCAACTTTCAGCTGACAGTGAAAGCATCGTACCACACTTGTGGATGTTAGATTGCTTTCGCGAATCGAGCTCTAGTAAAAATCACAGTTGACGCGTGAAATAGTTCAGATTTGAAAGGAGGCTTATAATTGGTTATTATGGAAGACGGAAAACTGGTCTGCGGCCCGCCTTACGACACATATATGAGGGATGGTATGAGAAGTGTTATCCTCGGAAGATACTGCTTCTGCTGGTTTTATGAAAGAGTTTATGCGTGTGAAAAGTGACTTTATCCATTAAATGCGATCCTAAAATATCTGCATGAAGACCGAAGAAGTAGCCATTTGGTGTCAGGGAGGAAGCCAGATGGACTCGCGCAAGCCAAAATATCATACTTTTTTGACAGGCTGCCCATGATGGTGACGATCCCTTAACGTCTTTGTTCGTCCCACACCAGCAAAAATGTTGGATGATAAGCCTAAGCGTAGCTTGCACACCGGGATGAGGTAGCCTGTGCAATACAATGCGCTTCTATTTTGACTTTCTCTCTGCGAATGAGTCAGACTGCAACAATAAGGAGAGGAGCTAAGTGACTATTTAAGTTGATTGAAATGCTTAATAGCAGTCTCATTCTGGAAGTGTCCACAGAGATGCTGATCTTATCCGCTTCGACAGTAACAGCTAAAATTTCTGGCACAATCATACACTTGCAGAGTGTGCTCAGAAAACATGGCGTTCATCTCTAGATGTACGAATCCATTTTATTCTCAAAGAATTTAGTAGATTTAGTTTTATTCAGTCAGTGATGCTAAAAAACCTTCACTGCATAATGGCGCGGTGTTACAAAGACTTTGTTTTTTGCTCATAATGTTTAAGTGTTTACCTATTATTGGACCATGCGGAAGACAAATAGATCATATTGACAGGCGTCATTCAAAGCTAGAACAAGTTCCAGATGATGTTATGCGGAATTTTCGCACTTTAGAAGAGTGTCGTTTGGATGCTAATCAAATAAAGGAATTACCGAAGGTAGTTACAACTGCGCTGTGGCTTCAATAACTTATTGGGATAAAATATTCACTTTCGGTTTGTTTTAGAATTTCTTCCGGTTGAAACGCATTCGCCTGCTAACACTAAGTGATAATGAACTGACCCGTTTGCCAACCGGAATCGGTAGCTTTTCCAGTCTTGTTGAACTGGACATCAGTAGAAATGGTATGTCTCCAGTAAAATTTGCTTATCAGTACTGCAGATATATCTGAGCTTCCAGCAAGTATCCGGTTCTGTGACTCGTTGCAGAGTTTAGATGTGAGCAACAACCCTTTGCAAAGGTAAATTTTTTGGTTGTCATGTTTTTTTCTAAGGTTTTTAAATTGTAATAATGCATCCTCATATATTTTGCTTAACCTAGACTCTTGCACCATGCCTTTTTATATCGAATTCTTTATCGAGCAGAAGTTATGTAACCGGATTATTGGCTTCTCAGCAGGGCAGTGACAAAGAAAAGCGATATTTGACCAACGATCTACTAAATGACCCTAAACAAGGAATCAGTATTAACATACAAGCATCAATCAATGAAAAGACATACTTCACCTAGAAATGTGCGTCAATCAATGTTAAAACTGCAAAGCAAAATATTCGTGCAGGATTTATTTGACGAATATGGTGCACAAAATATCTTCATTTTTGCCTAGAATGTTTATATTTGCAAGTCAATACTGAGAGTCATTATAGTTCCCCTCAAAGCCTTCAGACTATGCTGTATCATGAGCTTATGAAAAAATTGCAAATGAAATAGTTTAGTTACTTTTGGTCTGGTTCGTTTTTGCTTCTCCCCACCATATTGGTCACAAATTTTGAAATCAAAATTTAGTATTTTTCCGTTAGAACTTTTTCAGTTCATCTCCAGTTTTAAACTTTATCTGTATTATCCGCTCGTTATATTTGACTCCACGTATTTCGTATGTATATTTTCGTTTACTTTCAACTCCAAGATACGTTTTTCATAAAGTATTCTTCTAATAAGCATTGAAGTGTTCTCTTCAGGTTGATTTCCATGTCTACAGTAATCAGTTTCTAAATAACAGCAAACTTAGGGAAATTATTTACAGTTCGAAACCTATTCCTTCTTGTTTTAGTTATTTGTCATCTTCACTTTCATGTTGTTGAATTCTGTGTTTGACGTTGCGAGTAAATTCAATTCTCTTTAATCCCGTAAACTGTCATTGCTCTCTGAAGGCTTCTTGGCACTAAGTTCGTCCTGAAGGCTTTCAACAACAATTGCCAACTTATTTTAGAAGGCTGAAGCATGTTGCTAAAGTTACAAAATACCTACTTAAGTTTGCTGGACCACTTACCTTAGTCAGTCACGCAGATATCAACGTCCTCAAGACTTGATTTGAATCTCAGCTCGAATAAGAAAGGCTCATTTTTCACTTGCTGACTTGTGTAATCTCTGGTGCTGATTGGTGAGGTATCCGACTACCCATCGAAGGAGGGGTATAGTGCTCTGCAGTTCGTTCTTTCCTGTTATGCGATTAAGACAGCCGTTGAAAGTAGGTGTGAACGGATTATAAGTTTTGAACATAAGCATCTTCATAACACTGTTCGCGTGTGGTAGATTCCTTATAGAAGTGACTTTGAAGTTAGGAGAAGTTTACAAGGCAAGGAATGGAAGTCAGTGGTTGAGGTTGTGAACCTTGAATGACTTAGATGACTTGGATGTATGGTGCGCATGCCGAGCTGCTGGTTACCTGTATGTGCAATGGTAGGGGGAGTTAGATCTTGCTAAAAGAGGAGGGATCAGGGTGGCCCTACGAAGATGTGGCAACGAGGCATGAAGTCTCTTACTGTTGGTGTAAGCAGTGTGGGGAGGTATGGAATGCCTAGTTGGCATCTTCGAGACCATAAGAATCAATAGTTGGAGATTTTTGGTAACTTTGTTGAAAATCAATCACAATGGTGCAGTTGTATTCAGACTTTGACGCCTTCTAAAGCTAACTAACCTTTAACTTCAAATTATTTCTCCTCTCATACAGCTTTGTCTACTTTAATGTCAGTCTTGTTATGTCCGCTTGGTCTTAGCATGGTACTTTGAAGTGTGGTAGCTTGAGCCTATTTATTTGCATGTGAGGTTATACGTTGATTTTGTCTATCTGTCTATCCCAACACTAATTTGAAACTGCACAAGGTTAGACCCACATGTCGCTGTTTGTGGCTATTTTTCTCGTGGATGTAGATGCCTGATGATTAAAGGACTACGTGTATAAATTAAAAACTGGTTTGAAACATTGGTGTATTGCTCCTAATGTTGGATGTGTACTTTTCACTTAATAATATTAACGGCTTAGATAAATTAACCTTGCAGGCTTTTAATCACGCTCGCGAAAAATGAAACTGAAAATTCAGTTATTGATGAAAATGTTGACTGAGTAATTCGAACGCTTTGTGATATATGTGTCCCCCGAAGTAACCTTTCAGTCAGCCGTTTTCTTTTTTTACAGGGTCCTCTAAAATCTTTTTCTCGTATACAGTTTAATAACTGGTTTTGCGAACTATGAATAGGAATTATATTGGAACAGACGTAAATCAGAAAGGTAACAGAATATGTTAGCGTCGTTCACTTGTGTACTGATCTGATAAATCGTTTTAGCGTTGCTTTTCTCTATCTCTGATCATGTTAGCTTGGATGTTGTTTAAGTTTTGTATACCTTCATGTATTCGTTAGTTCGTTGGTGCTGTAACTGACTGGTTTAGACAGTTGACTTCTAACCAGTGGATCATTGATTCGAACGCCGCTCCACCTACCCAGGTTAGAGCAACCAGGTAGTATCATTAGGTTTCAGAAACTTGTCTCCTACAGTTATACTGACTATCGGAATGGCTGGGTGGTGTTTCTGCAGCATGAAACTTAAATTCTTAGTGTGAAATAAGATTTTCGTCTCCTGATCCACTTGTTTTGTCTAGATAACTGATTAACTTCTTGAATAACTATTGGTCACGTTCTAGTGATGATAACTGAGTACTTACTGAGGTGGGTTTGTTTTTCTTCTTATACAATACCTTTACAGAGTTTAGCATGTCGCTTTTTTACAAGTTAGTTACAGTTACAATTAGTATCAGATATCTAGTTCGTTGCAATGTACTGTTTCTTGAGATCAAACTCAATATCTCGATTTCCGGCATTTAGATAAGATTATTTAGTAAGGGATTTATATATCTTTCTGCTGTATGTACGTTTATAAATATTCAGTCCATCGTTGTTCTGAATGTCATGGAAGAGTTTGAACACTGAGTCTGATTTGGTGATAACCCGAGCTCGTCTAGAAAATCAAAAGATTTTTCCATACATTTTTCTTTGCATGTCGCAGCTTCTTTAGGAGAATTTCTGAAAAATCAGGGTTATACTAAAACCTAATTTTCCATGTGTATTTCTCCCTAATTTTTCACAAGGTCTATTCGTAATTTGTGGTCATGGATGTGATACTTATAATTTCATCAGAGTGTGCGCCATACCTCCTAATTGGTGCCTTATTCAGTATTTAAATCTGTGTCTCGTAATATATATGCATAAGTATACTCGTAAAATACGTCTTCTTAGAACAGCTGTAATGATTCACTTTGTTGCAAACTTTTTGGACACCATCCCATTCTAAGTAGATTATATTCCTGTGTTGTTTCATAAACAAATATGTTTTCACCTTCATATTTCTTTTTTGTGTGTATCTGCGAAATGTGCTTTCTACTTATTTCCATGGCGTCCGAGTTTATGAATTACAATACTGCAGTAAATTGTATTCTTTTAAAACCAAAACGTGACACTGATCCATCAAGTCTACCTTTTCCCTAGTTGTTTTTGGAAATACTGACTTCTTAGTTGGGGTTCATAAAACTTTTGACGATTATGTGGTGACACTTGGAATGGATTACAGTGTGCAAATGCACCTACGCGTTATCCACATAGTAATCATTATTTCACATTTCATCATTTGCTTTGGATTCTCTTCTATTTTTTATATGCCGTTCTATGACTTTTGATCTTATTTCAATATCATCTTCCTTGTTATCTTTTACTGTGATTTCAGATGAAGTAGTTTAGATCTATATTCAGTAGCTCCAAGTTCCATATTGATAATATATATCTATCCGTGCTTGTACACCGCTATAGGACTTTTGCCACAGTTGTATAACAGTGACCGCGTTAACAGGCTACGTGATATTTATTTATTGTCAATATCTCTTGACCAGTTAAATAATTTCACTTGCTTCAAGGTAGGGAGTAGGATAACTAATTAGTTTACAAGTAATATACAGATCCTTATGCGGTGTGCATGGTAGTGGATTCTCCATACTTGTTTTCAAAATGAAGTCGGTTAGTGATCTTTTCTCCAAACGAGCCAATATATCCGATTTTGGAAGGGACTTAATTTTATTTGTAGTAGAATTAATAAAAGAATTTATTTTGCTTTGTATTCTCTAATCTTTCAATTATTTCAATAAAATGTTTCACCTTACCTTCTCCAGCTTACCTGATGGGTTCTGCCAACTGCGAAATCTTCGAGTTTTGTGTCTAAATGATATTTCGATCTCTGAACTTCCTGAAGAAATAGGCAGGTTGGTATTGAATATGTTTTTGTTGCTCATAGTAGAATTTAAAAGCATTGTAGATTATTAGCATATATTTCAAGTTTTGATCATAGGTTGTTAATATGCCATTCCTAAATAATAACAAGAAAAATTCACCACTTGGAGCTTCAAGGTCGTCAGTCAAGTCCAAAATTTTAAATTTAGTTGCTTACTTTCCATATTGATTGTGTTCATGGTATTGAGTTGGTTTTGAGTATAAATGGGAAGGTTGAAGAGAAACTACGTGTAGTATTTTGTTCTCACAATTTCATGACGCTTACAGCTGAGGAATTTGACAACACCTATTTTTCAATCCTGCTGTTTTAGCCTTCGTTCATTGGCTAAAGAAAAAAGCCGGGAAAGCAATGCAAAGAGGGAATTAGGGTAGATACACTCGTTCCTCCATGATAGGTGTAACACATATGAATTTGGACGGTTTGTGAAGTCTCGTCTCGAAATTTTCTGGTTCAAGAAATGCTGTCATCACTCAAAAGTTGGAAGCAGGTGGTAACTAGCTGAATTGTGGCTTAGCTTTTGTCTTCAGTGAAATCTAGATTTGAGACTGTTCAAATAATCTTGTTACACACAAGGATAGTTGTACAACCGCGACACTCAGATCAATTCTAACTGATATCAGTTATTGTTGAATGTTCTAAAGTGATAGTCGTGTAACTACACATAGTTACTTATCTTTCAAGGCTAAGTGTCTTAGTTGTGTAATTATAATTTGTTATCCTATATAACCTCGTAATTCACATGTGTAAACGCATGAGTTATCAGCATATAAGACTTAGTCATGTTTGTTTGTTTGCAGCTTCTTAGATTTAATTGGTTCCAGGCTTGGAAAAGAAAAACACATGATGTAACAACTGCGTGCAGCTTTGAAAAAGAACAAAGGTAGATTGTTTGTAGTCACAATCTATATGAAATTAAGGTAACTGCCATCTCGATCGTACACTGCATTGTAGAAGCTACACTACTTTTAATAAGTATCGTCGCATCTTGCCATGACTAAAGCTGGTTTTGAGGTACTCAAATACTGGACGAAATGTTTTTCTCCTCTCTGAGATTTCACGAACCACTTAATCATTCAAACCACTAGATTGTAGGATAGGTATAGTATTGAACTTCAAACACTGGTCCTTATATTGATCGGTCACTGTTTATACATTAGGGATTTTAGGTCTTAAAGTGATAAGCTTAGTTTGTGAAGTAAGACATCTATGTCAAATAGCTTTAAGTTGCCGATTTAAATATTCAAAGAGCCTCATTCTGCCGATGTTTATCTTCGTTTATAAAGAATGTCATGTACTCATTTAGGGTTTTACGGAGAAGTCGGTGTCTGATGTCTGAAGTAGTGGTCTTATTAGTTACATTTGAGAACAAGCCAAATAAAAATGAGAATAAGTATGTGTGGTGGATATCACTCGATAAATCACTTCACTTTTGGTTTGCGATAAGACTGGGTACTTAACTATAGAGCCTACAGTGAGATTTGCTTGCCAGATACTGATGTCAATTAGAAACACTACACAGTTTGTTGACTGACTTTATCTAGTTCCACTCTAGTATGAAGAAATGTGACTAGTGTTGGTGCCAGTTGCAATACCTACGTTCCAAGGTCCAACAGGTGGTGTAGATTTAGTCGATGCACACAATATAAGATCTGAAACTTGCCTGGTTTCCTCTGGTTTACTGCTCTTGAGCCTCAGTTAGCTGTCTGGTAATTATAGAACCTAGGATACTAGAAACTGTGTCTAGCTAATTCCTGTGCAAACACCCTGAGAGGATCCCTATTGTCTTTTGGAGGCTGGAACAATCGACAACTTAGACCAGTAAAACTGAATTTCTGACCACCACGCTTCGAAAGGTACCTCAATTTAATTATTACCTGTAAGTCATTATCTGTAAATATTTGTGATGTCCGTAGGATATAATCTATATCTGCCTTTCATTTAAAGTCAAATATAGCTTTCTCCGCTTTGAAAGTAGTTAGACGGGCGGTGCTGATGACCCACTCAGTTTGTGGTCAAACAATAGGAAACTAAAATATCTGGAGATTAGATAAATTATTGCTCAAATTTTTCTTCCTATTTTCCCAGTTGTCTCTTGTAAATGCATCATCAAATCTTTTTTGTCAATAGTTTCGCCAACTACTGGTGTTTGCAAGCTGTGTTTATGACGCTATTTCTTCTGGTCAGTTTACTTGTGTGACCTCTAGGAGTGCATTCATTCGAAGAAAGCTGTGTGTATTCACTGCGACGATTTAGCATTCTTCTGACGTTCACTGACAATCTCTATGCTTGTTTTATCAAAGACCAAAGAAAGTGTAAAAGTCTGTAGGACTAAGAATTATTATCATACTCCTGGAGCTGATTTTCCAGTTGCTGATTAATTATACTCTCAGTATTTACATTATCAAGCTAGACTTGGAATAGCTTTCCGGATTTCTTTTCTACATCTATAAAAACTGAGATGGATGTATACTTAATGAGTGACATTACTTTATTCATCTCTTTCCTTGGGAACCGGAAATGATATAGATGATCTGTGTCCACCGTTGGTTTGACTTCGGTTTCCGCTGAATCAGGCAGTATTTCTCTGCATGTTTAAATTTTGGGCTTGCTAGGGAAAGGGGCTTGTCAAAGTACAGTTGTAGCAGGCAGTCATCATTGTTCGTTTACTATACGGGGGCTCCAAAAGCACCATCTGAATGCCTTTATGTTTGGCTTGGCCTCCTAACTAGTTCACTAAAGTCATCGTGTAGGATAACTTACTATACATTTGACTTCTGTTGGATTCACTTTTCATTTTATCTGAATTTCACTTAGTAGGTGCATAAACAAAAACTGTATAAAGTCACCGTTGCACCACTGTCTTTTAGAGTTCGAACTGTGCAATCCATTAAACAGAAGATAAGTGGCTGTAAACCGGAATATAGTCGAGAATTACTCCTTTCATCCTCAAAGTTAATACTACACCTACTCCTACAAAACAATTGAAACTAGTCACTAAATCCATATTTTACTGGTTAGCTTAGGTTAAGCGAGAATCCACACTTGAGTCCTATATGGTTGTTTTTGAATGACAGCATACTTAGATGACCTGGGATCATAGCGTTTTGTTCACCAAGGTCTGTTTCCTGAATTGACGTTGGATGTAGTCATTAAGTGCTTCAGTGGGTTTTTCAAACGGGACTTCAGGAGTTTTGAGGTGTAATTTTCTGAGCTTCAAAGCCTTATGATAGTTTGCTACGAACAGAGAGACTGCAGGTAGTTTAAAGAAGTTGATAAAAGGCAAGTATGAAGAAAGGTGATATCTTTCAGAGAATGAAGATGTAGATGAAAATTCATTTATTCATTGATATCGACTGTTATTGAATATGTCTAAGGTACGATTCCACCTAAAAATCGGTGGTGCCAATTCATGATAGTTAACTAGATATATGACTCATTGGCTTTACCGTTCGATTTTTAAGCAGTCCCTCTCGAGATCGTATTTCACCCTATCTACTTCGGTCTCGTTGATTGGGTAGTACTATAGACCTTCACAGATGCAGCATCACTCTTAGCCGGGCACATGAACATGTAATGGATTGAGTTACTTAGCTGTTTAGTTACGATGGTTAACTTGATTCTTTTGGTATTATTTTTTAAAAACTTTTTTGAAAGTAACAGAAACACTATGTACTATTTAATCGTTAATGTTTTACACACTATTCTGATGCAGTTTACAGCTACTAGAAAAATTGGAGCTGCGTGATAATTGTCTCAAAACAATTCCTGATTCATTCGCTGATCTTATCCATTTGGAGTTTCTTGACCTTGGAGCTAATGAGTTTCAAGAGCTGGTAAGTTTTGTGTTCAGCATTATTTATTCAAATCTAACGTTCGACTAGAAACCCCTGGTTTTTTAGTGAAACTTTGGCTTCAAGGTTTAAGCATTACTTTTAAGCATTCCATCATGAATTTAAGTTTCATTTCATATTTTGGAATGTGGACAACCTATAAGTATCGTAAGGTCTAGTATAATAGGTGTTGTTTGCAGTCTTTTAAGTGGATGAATTTGTACACGATTGCTGTATAGCATTGTTTTTATTATCTCATAGTCATATTAAGTTGCTTATCATAATTTCTATTTTACCACTTTACTATGTTTATGTTGATCATAAGTTCTGAGGGTAACAACAGTCTATCTACTCTATTATTAAGAGGAGATGCAACCAAATGTTTTCTTAACTTTTTTTTTTGTAAATCACTTTGTTTGCTCACAGTCACTGAGTTAGCCTTTCTTGCCTAGTGGCAGGGTTCATTTATTTATCATCAACATCATTAGTTTCACCTCTCAACAACTCTATGATCATCATTTCGGTGTGGTAACCATTTCAACTTCTTTTTCCCACTTATTATTTTTTTTGTTCAAAAGAAAGTTTTTCATGTATCCAAGTCTACTTTACAGAAATTCCATATTAATTTGTTGTTTCTATTCTTTTTTAGTCCCCTGTTATTGGTCAGCTGTCTCATTTAAGCGAATTATGGATAGACGATAACGAATTAAGATCATTACCTGAGGTAAAGTATTGCTTTTTGAAGTCAAATTATCACAATAATTGTCAACAGGCTAGATTTGTATATTCATTTTGATGTCAAACAGTCTGTTAGTCCAGATGATTCCTCACTTTGTTTGATTTTACACGCCTATTTATTCTGTGTTCTGTTAGCGTTTTTATAGTTGTTTTCAGTTTCTGATGCTCCAGGACTTGTCTTCAACTACTCCTAGTTTAAGGATATGGAGTAAAGAGGTGAAATATGTCGATCCCTTCACTTGGGGAGTTGTATCGGTATGATCGGGCTGGTTGGTGACGAAATCTCAGCTCAGATAGAGGCCCCGTTTAGCATTTGTCAACTTACGTTATCTCTGGCACCAACTGGAGAGATATTCGACTACCTATCAAAGGGCGAGTATGCTTCTCTACAGTCCATTCTTCCTTGTTATGCGGTTGTGAGACAGCTGTTGAAAGTAAAAGATATGAAGGGACTACAAGTTTTGACTATAGACGTCTTCATTGCATCGCTCGCGTACGGTGGATTCGTGTAAGTAATCTTTTGGTTATGAGATTTCTAGGAAAGGAATGGACGTCAGTCGATGAGGTTGTGAACCCTCAACACATTCCCAGTCACCGCCCACTTCTACATGCCATGCTAGAGGAGGTTGGATTGTTGTAAGAGGAGGACCCAGAGTGGCTTTGCAAAGACGTGACACCAGTCCATGAAGTCCTTGACTGTTGATCTGGGCTTTTTGGAGAGATGTAGACTGCCTAGTTGGGGTCTTTAAGACGATAGGAATCAGTGATTAAGAACCCTGGGTGACATGGTTGAAAATCGGTCACAGTGGCACAGATGTAATCTAACTTTGACGTCTTCTGAAGCTTATATATCCACACTAACTTTAATCTTTATTCGTTCTGTTACACAAGGTTTTCTGCTTTGATTTTACTCTTTTTCTATCCACTTGTTATTTGTATACTGCTGTGAAGTATGTAACCTGTCCTGATACACTTGTGTTCGAGATTCTACGTTGGTTTTGTCTGTCTGTTTGTTTCAGTTATTCTTATTTCTTCCTTTTCTTTGTGTTGTCTTGAGCTACAGTAACTTGATGAGACAATTTTATTCTGTTTCATACCTCACTAAACTTAGTCTATTATTAAAGGTAACAATCATTGAAGGTTAAGATCTGACTCAACTGTTTAACCGAAGTTAAGCTAATTTGTTAGAAATATTCACAATAACATCCAGGGAATTCGTTTCTTTTGCAGTATTCTTTCAGTTAACACTATTTGTCTTTTTGTACATTTATTAAGTGTTCATTTTCTGTTCCTGAGTAGAACAAATCACTATCAACTTAAGTTGATAAATTAATCTACCTCATTTTATATTGCCTTTTTTGTGTTTTCATAATGAATGAACAGGAACTAGGAAATCTTGTGAATTTACAGCAGTTAGATTTATCGGAAAATTTGATCTCTTCACTGCCTGAAAGTATTTCTGGACTAGTCTCATTATCAGATTTGAACTTGTCGCAGAACAGTATTACACACTTGCCGAATGGTTTAGGTGAGGACTATCATTATAAACTGTATTTTATTGTTATTATAATCAATGATGTAAATTCTACTATTTTATTTTGCTTCATTACTTTCATGAAAGAATAAAATAACTTTAAAGTCATATGTATATACTGTGTGAAAGACCGATGATGTCATTTGCATATTGAACATATTCACTTCCATTGTTGGCGACTGGTAATGTGAAACTAAATCCTGAAGAGTTTTATGATAAATTACAAAAACTGGATAAGTTTTGATTCTAATTTGCCAAGCTGTGGTTCCTCGTTGTAGACACTCAATTTTTAACCATTGCGTTTCGAGTTCAGATGCTGTTCGTCTATTCCTTTAAGAGTTACCGATTAGATTAATTGTCGTTCACATATGACGCGTGACTCCTAAGTTGCTCATGATTTTCATTTTGAAAATAAACCATGTTTCATAAATTAAATAAAAGACTATATTGTGAACTTTATTAGTTTCTCGAAAAACATGGTATTTTCATCCCACTAAGACTAAAAATTTACGTTGAAATATGTAAATAAACTTTCGATCAAGTTGGCTGAAGCAGTTCTTTTATCAAAAGGTTTGAACTTTACACTGTTTCAGTAAGATTGGAGGTGAGTGGCTGTATTTTTGTGTTTCTTCTGCATATTATGTCTACTGAATAGTCTATTTATGGTCACTGACGGCGCTACTATTCGATAATCTGGGCACTTTCCTAGAAACCGTTGGGTTACAGATTTCAACGAATCTTACTTTATCTGGATCTTAGCAACAAGGTAGTAACGTTTAGCTCTCACACAATTGTAGTGGCTTCCCAACTACTGTTGGTAAATCTGGTAGCCACAAATGTGTGTATTTAAGCTTATCGTAAACACCATATGCATTGAAATAAAATCACTTTGAAATGTTACAATATTTTATGCTTCATTAGTAAGTGGAAGATAAGTTATTGTCTATTGAAAACTTTTGTTCCTGTTGGGATTTTACTTTATGGATGGTTTTCTGTTACTTATTACACTCGTTTTGATTGTAGAACCCGTTTTTGAAGTGAGTTCTGCGGTTGAAGTGATATAGTAGCGATAAAGCTACCTTCTGGTCATCTTCTGACAGATAACTTAGATAAATATCAACGTAAAACCTGGCACAAATGTGAGTCACTTCAATTTCCCACACTTCATGGCAGCGGGAAAATAAGAAATGGATGGGAAAAGAGTGATATTGAAGTACTCAAAAGTGTGTCATACGGGAAAAATGAATAAAGAAAAGTTAGTGAAAATACTCAAGACTTCGAACAATGTATACATCTCTGCCCTTATGATCAGCTTTGAACAGTATTACCAAAGATTTCCAACTATTGATCCCTTTCGTCTCGTAGACCCCAGTCACATAACTTACATAGCCCTGACAAACGATGAAGTACTTCCCAGACTAGCGCTGCCTCTCGGTATGGTCTTCTCTACTGGCACACCATTTTATAAAAATCCTCGAAAACTCTATTACAGTTGATGGTTGAAGAGTTCGACTTGCATAATCAGTAAAAATGTTATCATTACTAAAGGGTGGAAACCTATTACGATTGCCGTAGTTACTTCGGCCCTCGCAAAAATTTTTATAAACCACTGAGGTTTGATATCATGATTCGTGTGAGGACTACGACACTCAGATCGTAGAAAGTAGTTGTCCGAAAAAATCACTTGAATCCTTTAATTCGGATGTCAGTAATGCAGAGATGCATTCACATAATATCATCACCTAGACCTCTATATCACATTAACTTTATTCCATTTCCTTTCTATCGTTCTCGATTTCTCATCATACTTTTTCATTTTCTTGTCTGATCTGTTATTGACTTCCATCTTGATGTGCTAATATGAATTCTAGCAATTTAGACTGTCATGCTTTTGTACTAGCAAACATATTCACAATTACCATCTGTCATTACTTGATTGACACGACTGTGGAACAGTGCTGGAAGTTGCTCCCTTCTGTTAGGTTGCCAGGATGGGTTCACTCACTATTCCTTTCAGGATCGTGGAGATCATAGACGTCAGTTGATAAGGTTGAGGATTTTTCTACTCCCTTTGGTCAACTACTGCTATTTATGCTGTAAACATATAAAACTCCGTTACAAGTATGCATGAGGCAGAGTGTGGATATGCAAACATATCCGCATTGCTATAAGCAGGCATCGGGGTTAGGCATTTTTCCTTAACCTTACTGTCAGTGATATTTTATGACAACCCTGTTTGTGGTTGGTGCTTGTAGTATAAACCCGGTACTTAATGTGGTGATGGTATCGTCCTGTGTACTATCATGCAGCCGGCTTAGACCCCTTATTCAGTTAGAGATCATTGTTCGTAAGTGTGGCATGTGCGTTGTATCGTTGGAGTGTGAAGTACTTTTTAAAAGTTATCAGAAACCCGTTTACTTATCTTATTAGTTGTACGCTAATGAGAATAGAGCAAATGAGACTTATCTTAGAGCAAAACTTTAGTGATGTAATGTGATATGTTTTTCCGGTAACAATATTGTATCCTAATAAATAGTGTTTATCGGTGTTTCAGTTTGCATAATGAATATTCTGTTCGATTAACGGAGCTACCTCAGCATAACTTCCGGCAAATTATTCTCAGTTTGTGCCAAACATCTCGAAATCCAATGGTCCATATTTCCAACTCCTGTCAGTTCACGATATAGCGCGACCATCACCCAATGTCATCTTTGGGTATTTGTCCTCACTGTCACCAGGTTTGGCCCATTGGTCACGATTTCTCGTTGGAACTTCAGGAATCATCTCTCGAAACCACTCACCAATGAGCACTAGTGTTCCTCCAGGTGATGTCAGTCCATAATGGATACCAACTTGAAAAATCACTAAATTCCCACAAACCCGTAAATTCAATAGATCTAACTTCAAGAGGTGATTCCTAAAGTTCCAACGAGAAATCGTGACCAATGAACCAAACCTGGTGACAGTGAGGACAAATACCCAAAGATGACATTGGGTGATGGTCGCGCTATATCGTGAACTGATAGAAGTTGGAAAAATAGATCACCGGATCCCGACCCAGTGGCTCAATGGTAACGTGCTGGTCACGGGACCTGAAGGTCCTGGGTTCGATCCTTGGGGGGGGGGCGAGGTCATGAGTGCGCATTGCTGAGGAGTCCCATATTAAGGTGAAACAGCTATCCAGTGCTCCAAGGTTTCTAATGTTCCTTCAACTGATGTCAGTCCACGATGAATACCTGCTCGAAAAATCATTCAACAATATTTGTTTCTCTTGCTTCGTTAAAATTTATAAAAGGAACTAATTGTATCAAATGTTATTATTAGGCAGAAAGATGATCAGTCTTTAACTGTTTTGCTTTAATTTGGGGTCTTTTGCTGCATCATAATTCTGTATCGGCGTATTAAAGTTATTCCACTTTGACATTACCAGGTATAGTTCAAAACGGAGACCAGTGGTGATTTCAAAGTTTAGCTATTTTTGTAAATAAATAGTTGGGTGAGTTGTGAGGAACGAAACCAAGGCTTGTAACTTCTAATCCACCTCTCCGATTAGTTGGATTATGCTCTTCATTTTTGTGCTTATGTCGAATCTGTCTACTTTTCAATTCCACGTTATTTTACTTTGTGGTGCATTTCTTGATACCCTGTTGTATTAATTTTTATGTCTGAAATAATAACTGCCTTCATATGTCGGTTGTCAACAGTCGTAGTCTATGCAAAGCTGTAGATGGTTCTTGATGTTCAAGAATTTCCCACTCAGCATACTACCGTTTGTCACTGTTTGATTATTACGGTCTGCCACTTGTTGATTCATTCTCATTATACTGATATGAAGTTTCTCCAGGTTTCAAGTTGTTCTCATCAGTTTCTTATCCTTACATTCTAGAAATGAGTATGCTCATCTGCCACAAACACTGTGATATACATTGAAAGCACCCATTAAACTGCACTTAGTGATATAATCTATTTTGACTGCATTACCGTTGTCGTAAATACTTTAGTTGAACTTCATGACTGCAAACAGCCTCATTTTTAATGCTGTGTAATTCCCATACAAGCTGAACCAAATGCCAGTAACGTACGGCTTTCACGTAGTAACGCATGTAATACATATCATGGTAATTGACTAGGTTGTGGCACTTCGTCCTATTTGGGACTCGTCAGCTGGATGCACCTGCATCCTAGTGCGTAATGTTATTCTCACTGAGACTCGATCCTCGTATCCATCGCTTCAAACACTGAAGTGTTATCTACTAGGTGACTAAGGCACGATGGCCACCTTTTGTACAACGGGCATCGTTACTGCTATTTTTTTTTATATCTATGTAGTTCTCCATTTTTATACTGGGTCGAATTGTTCGACCTCTGTTGGCACATGGGCTCTTATGCAGATGCCTCTATACTGCCTGAATATTTATTATGGGAATTGACTTGGTAGTAATAACCAGTCCCCGTTGTGCAAGAGGTAAATATCGTGCCTCAGTGGCCTAGTGGATAACGCTTTGGCCTTTGAAGCTATGGGTACGAGGACCGAGTCTCAATAGGAGTAATATCACTAGGGTGCGGGTAAATCTAGCTGAAGAGTCCCAAATGGGACTAAACGTGAGTCCTGGATTTCTGTGCAATCCACGACCGAGTCGTTTACCATAATAGGAATTTGGGGAGTATCGAGGCATCTGCATAGGAGTCCATATGCCAACAGAGGTCTAACAATTCGATGCAGTATAATAATGGAGAATTACAAGTACATCAACAAGCAGTATTATGTAATATACTTTCATATCCTTGAGAGTGAAAATTACTCACTGCTCTCTACAAGAGAATTAAATGTAGGTCTTTCAAATATAATTTCTGCGAGTAGCTGTACTTCTCCATTATTTTGATCAAACTTGTTTGTTGTTTGACCTTCAGCAATGTGTCAATAGTGGGTACTGCAAGTTTGTATGTGTTTTTAAAGATCAGTCGTTATATTTCATATTGGATAACTTTTGTGT